ACAAGGAGGCTCCAATACCATGGTGAATGTTGGGTTAAAGGACAGTGAGATAGGCAGGTGTCACAATGGTCACGAGTATATTGATGCAGCCCAGCCAGTTTGCCATTGGAATTGTTCCTCGGGTGAGCCAGAGAGAGAGGAAATACCAGAGAGGAGAAGCCCTGCCATCACTCAGAAATACTGTGTAGGCTAAATCAGGATTGGGTCCTTAGTCACTGGAAGATGTCATGGATTGACACAGCCTGAACTAAAAGGATGAGTCCTGCAGTCAATTAATGAATCAGTCATTTCCGCAGTATCTCACTAGGATTCTTCAGAGATCTGTTTTGTTCCATCAGAAATCCATGATGGTAAGGGAAATAAATCAGACAGATGAGCTTAAATATCACATGGTTTCTCTTATATAAGAAACCCAAAATACAAATAAACTATAAAGCAAAATAAAAGACAAATAATAGGAAACAAGGAGAAAGGTCTTTTGCAAAAGGAAAGGAGACCAAGTAATAGGGGGTAGGGAGGAGAGGGGAAAGGGATGGAAAAAGAATTAAGATATGTAATGTCCATGTACCAACGCCCCACGATGAATGTAATCATTATGTACTGCAAACGGGTACCAATAAAATCAAAATTAAAACAAAAGAAATCCAGGAGCTGTTTCAAATGAGCATAGTTTTAAGGCAGGTTTTTCAATCTTAGCTCTACTGATATTTTGGGCCAGATAATTCTTTGTTATGAGGTGGCCCTTCGGTGCACGGTAGGGTGTGTTGCAGCAAGCCTGGCCTCGACTCACTAGATGACCGTGTCTGTGAATTGTCAAATGTTCTTCGGGGGTAAGGGTGAAGGAGAAGGGTGAAAAATCCGTCTCTGTTCCCCCACCTTTGTTCTTGGGAAACTACTAATTCAACAGAAAATCATGACTTGCCCTTGTCTCCATTTCAATGAAGTGTCACTTGTTAAAAATAAAGAGGTTCTAGGGCTGGGGATTTAGCTCCATGGTTCCAGCGCCTGCCTCGAAAGCACAAGGTCCCGAGTTCGATCCCCGGTACCAAAAAAAAAAAAAAAAAAGAATATCAATCAAAAATAAAGAGGTTCTATGAGTACAGCTTTAAGGATGTATAGAGGATTCTAATTTTCCTCCCCAGGGGAGCTGTGGCCTGATTATGGAAGGATAAATGATCTTGGCTATTATGGCTATTGTGAGTAAATCATCTGTGACTATATTTGTGACCATTATTTGAGAAACTTGTCTTACACCTCAGAGACTGACTTCCTAATCTTCCTTCTCAGTCTGCTATGGAATGGCAACCTGAAAAAAATGTAAGCAGAAATTTCAATTGCTTTAAAAAATTGTAATATGGGGCATTTTGTCACAAAGAAGTGATTCATATTGATGGTTGGGGTTAACAGGTAAAGAAAATAGAGACAAAATACACAAAGGCTCTGGGAGGGCCTTCATTAAGCATGCACACTCTCTTCTTCCAAGTCCACCCTAAATATCATGGGATAGTTGAAAATAAAAAAAACCTTATATGAATGCAATATGATTTAGGGATACTAGTATGAATGAGTTGGGAAAATTGGGGGGTATCAGTTAAAAATAGGGAAACCCTGAAATTGTTCATGTGTGAGAATTTGATCAGAAAGACTGTCCATCAGGCCCTCCTGACCAAAGCAGTAATTACTGGAGATTAGTTGAATTCTTCAAGAACGTTAACATTTTATGTTCCTCTTGAATCATTGGTGACAAGAGTGTTTTAAAATTCAGAACTTTTTTCACAGAATGATAACACAGTGAATAAAATTTGTCAGTATACTTCAGAAATGCCCATGTCTAATCCCAGAGCTGTGGAATTGGAACCAAGAACTCTACCAGGTCTTAAGCAGGAATGGTGAGCCGTCCAGCCCCTCCAGTCCCATATATATGCACATCTATTATCGTTATGGGGTCAGAGATCCTGTTCCTTAGAGAGAACATTAGAATTTCTACAACAGAACACATGAACATTTGCAGGGAGGGGAATGAGCTCACTGTCACTTGAGGTTAGTTTTTCTTTTTTTCCTATCAAATGCATATAGGCAATAAGAAAATGCCCACGACATTCATGGGTTTTTAGATTGGGAAATGCAAATATGGAGTAGGGATGTGTAGTAGCGTCTGGGGAGGTTCCTGGTAGTGGTGTCATTTCCTCTCATTCCCTACTCCCATTGCCTCTGTCCCAGCTTTTCCTCAGTCTTCTTTCATATTAGGATGCAGCACTAATGTGATTATTTTTTCCTGCTTAAAAAAACCCAAACAAACATATAAGTAACGACAATAAAATTAAACTGATGTGTTCAGTGGATTTCTGGGGGACAGTCAGTAAAATCTAAGTGACTGGGCCTGACACTGAGCCCCCACAAATGAGTCAGCCTGCTCTCCACCCTCACCTAGGCCTTGTCCTCCCCTCCTCAGTCCTTCGGGCTCTGCATTCCATGCTTCTGGTTTGTTTGTTTTCCTTTTTCAGGCTGGACCACACTCAGCTCACGAGGCCACCTCTACCCTTCTGCCCCACACATATTCCCACAGTGCTTCTTTCTTACATGGTGACTACTCTCTCAACCCCACAATTTCCATGGATCTAAGTGTTCCCACCTTCTAGAACCTATATCTGACCAGATATGCACGACAGATTTTTCCTGAACACCCTTCTTCAGAATTCCTCTCCGCTTCACCTGTTGTCCAAGACTAATTTGTATCCTCCCTCTAGAAATGTAGTAACATTTATTAGCTATCTCATATTTTTCCTGCTTAGAATTTATTAATTTCTTGGTCTTATGATTTGGATGATTTTCATCAAATTTGGAAAATTATGACCATTATTTTGAAATATATTTCTCCTTTCATTCAATTTTCTCTTTCTAGGAATCTAAGTTAATGTATACTGGACTACAAGATATTATTTAACAAGTTACAACCACGTGTTCCTCTTTTTAAAAATATTTTCCCTTATCTTCAGTTCATTCTGGGTAATTTTTTTCAAGTTCAAGTTCATTAATTTATTCTTCTGTAATTTACTTTCTGCTGAAACCATCTAAGGATTTTTTTTTTAACATTACATTTGATTTTGAGCGTAAAAGTTTCCATTGTACACTGAAAGTCAAGGTCTGCCTCTATCTGTATCTATATTTATCTATCCATTTATTTACTTATCCATTTATTTATTTATTTATCTATCAATTTATCCATTTATTTATTTATCAGTTTTCTGAATGTCAGAACATGCTGCACATTATCTTGGTTACTTCTCTTTCACTGTATTAATATTTTCTGTTTTTGTGTTTTGTTTTGTTTTTTTTGGTACTGGGGATCGAACTCAGGACCTTGCGCTTGCAAGGCAGGCGCCAGAACCACTGAGCTAAATCCCCGGCCCCTATTAATATTTTCTTAATCCTTCAAAGATGACCTTTCTATCATTCTCTCCAGTTAGAAGAAATTTATACTCTGCTGACCCGTCTAGAGCAGGCCTCTTTTCTCAACCACTATACTGCATACGTGTGCACATGTGTACACGCTACAGACAAATCACAATTTAGAAATGTAGATTTTTACACTAAGCCATCTAGAACCAAATATGTAGATGGAAAATCATTATCTAGGACAGAAGGAAAGGAGGAATCGTGTGACCAGGATCCATAAGCAGGCGCACACGACTGGGAGGACAGTCATCACAACCCGGCAGAGGGCTCCAGAGTGCCACTGCCTCTCCCAGCCTGAGCTCAGTGGATGGAGGGTAGATGAGGACCTGCCAGTCATCACCTGTCACAGCACCCATGGGTGGAGGAGGAAAGTCTTCCCATGCCCAAGCCCTGTCTCATACCCTGGGAGCAGAGACTGAGGTCAGATAAAAGGGCTCAGAGCCAGAGCAGCCCTATCCACTCCCCTCTTCGCTGAGATCCTGTGCTGCTTGTGACCTTGGTAAGTGTCCAGTGCGAACAGAAGCAGGGGCCTCCTCAGAGGGAAGCTCAGACCAGAGCAGGAGGGAAGGCTGGGTTGGGTATGCAGAAACTGGGAGTTGTGCTTCACAAGGAAGAGAGGAGCAGGAAATTTGGAAGCAGAGGATGAGGTGTGGCATGAGGGAGATCAAGAACAACTGGGAAGACTTCTGCAGCTGTGTGCTATAGTTCTAGAGAAGCTGGGTTGATTACAGTGGCTGAATGTGTCTGTCTGCTTTCAGATGACACAAATGCTGGCCACTAGATTATGTGGAAGTGGGTTGTAGTGGGAATATAATTGTGGAAATACAGCCATGCCTATTTCTAGAAAAAAAGTGGCTGAGGACATGGGTACTTAGAGGAAGAAAGGCACAGGGACACCTGCAGCTTTGGTTAGAATCAACAGGAAGACGGCGGTGAAGAACTGAGCCTTGAATTAGAAGTCAGGAGCTGAGTACTGAACTGACTGACAAGCGCTGATAACACTAGGCCAGCAAATTTACTTCTTCTGGCTTCGGGTTCTTCATTCATAGATTGAATCAGTTGGGACAAACTGACTCCAAGTGGCTTTGTAGTTACAGCTTTTCATATTCTTCAAAACCGAAACTCTTAAATTTCTTCCAAGAGGAAATGGTTTTGTTTTTTCCTCAAAGAATCTTTCATCTCTAAACTGCTCTCCTTGTCGGATATTTTCAGAACTCCTGGTGATGCGGTAGAATAAATGCAATACTGGAGACAATTTATTTCTGTGTCTTTTCTCCTACACTTGGGAGATTTTAATGAGCAGCCAATCTCTTTTTGTGCTTGGAGATTATATTGTTTGACAATTTCCCCAGGGAGATTTGAAATGAAACTCAGAAATAAAGGACATAAACTCAAAAGCGATAAAAAACAGAAGTAATTTTCCTGACTTGCAAGATGTGAGAACTAGAAATTCAGCTGGGAGGATAAGAGTGGCCCGTGGTGAGCCGAGTCGTGTCTGATTTGTGTTTCACTCTCTCGCAGCTCCTGAGCCACTACCCACCGAGATGTCCTGCCAGCAGAACCAGCAGCAGTGCCAGCCCCCTCCCAAGTGCACCCCCAAGTGCCCTCCCAAGTGCCCCACCCCCAAATGTCCCCCAAAGTGTCCCCCTAAGTGCCCCCCAGTCTCCTCCTGCTGCAGCCTTGGGTCTGGGGGCTGCTGTGGCTCCGGCTCCTCGGGCTGCTGCAGCTCTGGGGGTGGTGGCTGCTGCCTGAGTCACCACAGGCGCCGCAGGTCCCACTGCCACAGACCCCAGAGCTCTGGCTGCTGCAGCCAGCCCTCAGGGGGCTCCAGCTGCTGTGGAGGGGGCAGCAGCCAGCAGTCTGGAGACTGCTGCTGAAGAGGACCTGAGTGGCTTGCTCCCCTGTCCGAGGCTGCACGGATAGCTGAGGGGCCACACAAAAGCTGGAGCTCTGGCCTGGGTCATCTCCCTGGCCTTGTGTCCCGAAGTCCAGATCGTTCCCCTGAAACATTAGCGGTGGCCTTCTCCTCTCCCGCGGCAACGTATTCTGAGGCCTGAATTGGAACAATAAAATCTGGAATCAGCTCCCCAATTGGCTCTGAGACCCATTCATGTTCTTGCTTGCATTACCATTCCCCTCTCTTCCGCGGTGTCAAACGAGTCTGCGTATGTTTGCATTTTCCTCTAAGCCTCTTTTCTCTTTAACCAAGGCCCTGAAGCAGTAGTATTTATGAGCGCTGTTTCAACAACTTGTACCCTTCAGGTGTCTAACTCTCTGTGTGTGTGTGGCAGGAGGCCATCATCTCTTCATTTATTTGCCCCTCATTCCCCACATATTCTACTAAAAACTGTCTCCTGTCTCCTGTTTCCTCTATTAATTACCATACCTTAACATTCACTTATTTTCCGCATACGACACATGACTTTTGGCAAATATTGCAGTCATATCAACACAATTGCAAGCAACACTGTAAAAATGTAGTTGATTGCCTTTTAATAAGTATTTGGAGAAAGTTTTTAAAATAGCAGAAAATCCCTGATATAGCAAGGAAAATTTTGACACATTTAGCCACATTATTATTAAATTTCAAGTGGCAGAAAACACTATTTAAAAAGATGGAAGGATAAAAATGAACATGAGATAATACAAAAAGCACCTGGCAGGGATAAGACTAGCATCCTCTTGTAGTTTGGCTGTGAGTGTCGCCCAGCAGCCCATGTGTTCCAGGCTTGATCTTGAGGGCGGCACTGATGGGAGCTGGTGGAGCTGTTAGGAAGTGGTGGCCTCCTGGGAGGTCATTAGGGGCCTTTCCTTGAACAACCTGTGGAGCCTCACTCTTTCCTCTTTCTCCTTGGCAACTATGAAAAGCTTTTGTTCTGCCATGTGTTCATGCCGTGAGATGCTGCCTTGCCACTGGTGTAAAGTCACAGGACTATTCCATCACAGAGCACAACCTCCAAAGATGTGAGCCAAAGCAAAACTTTCCCCTTTATAAGCTGATTAGCTTAGGTATTTTGTTACAGTAACGGAAAACCAACCAACATTTACCCCTTATTCATATAGCATACATATACATCAAGAGCTTAAAAGTAAATATTCCCATAAATGATTTGGCAGGTCATGAGTGATTGACTTCTAAAAAGGAATAATGAAGAAATAGCAATAGCCACTGAAATTAGATGGCAAAAGCTATCCATCTCACTTACAAAGGAAGAACATAACTCCCCTCTTTGGAAGGGAGCTATTCAGTTTACAAGCCTGGCAAGATTTAAAGAGCTCATGAACCTCATTATGGGTGTGAAACTCATTATGTCAAAATGACCTCTTGTTCTGTGTTTGGGAATGGATGATTTTTCATTCGTCAAGAAAAAGCTATTAGAAGAAGTTAATTATACAAATATACTCCTTCACGCAAAACTTGTTATAGGGTTTCCCCATGACATAAACATTAATAATTAGAAAATAAATGCATAACAATGTTTGCTACAATGGTTGAAAGTAATAGGAAAGTTCAGCCCATTTGCAGCATATGAGATCAAAATGTTAAAAATCACAGCACTAGCAACACTGAAAACGTAACTTTAAGTTATGCTATTTAAAATAGTAACTGAAATTTCTCCTAAATGTAATTGTAAACACTTTTGCTGCAAAGTTTATATCATTTTTTCAACTCAATTAAAGCAGAGTATATATTTAAATACACAACTTGATGATTCACCATACATAAATGTTGCAAAATGTTTACCAGCTCCACACTATGAACATATCTATCACACTAAGTACTCAGTTGTGTCTCTGTCTGTGTGACAAGAGCTCTTCAGAGTTCCTTCTCTAGAAACTTTCAAGTATACAATAAAATATCTTAAGCTACGGTCACATTGCTGTGCATTAGTTCTCTGGACTTTACTTATCTTGTGCAGCTAAAATTACCAACTTTTCCCCAAATCTCCCTTTCCTCTCTCTCTGGCAAGCACTGTACTCTCTGTTTCTTTGAGTTTGTTATTTTTAGATTCCACATATAACTGATATCATGCTGTGATTATCTTTCTGTGTGTGGCATATTTCATTTAGCATAATATACTTTAAGTTTATCTATGCCACAAAAGGTAGTATTTCCTTTCTTCTTAAGGCATATATACATATATATATCATATGCACATTATATATACACATTATATATATACACAATATTTTTTACCAGTCCATCTATGGACCCACATTTAAACTATTTCAATATATTGGCCAGGCCAGTGTGAACAGTGCTGAGTGGAATATGGGAGTGTAAGACATTAATTTTATTTCCTTTGGTTTCATACCCAGAAGTGGAATTGCTGGGTCACGATGTAGCTCTGTTCGTAATTCCTGAGGAACTTCCATATGGTTTTCTATAATTGCACCCATTGACATTCCTATCAGCAGTATGCAAGGATTCCCTTTTGCCAATCCTTGCCACCGTTTGTTCTTATTCATCTTTCATGTATTGAACATTCAAACTAATGTGCGGTGTTATCTCATTGAGCTTTGGTTTATATTCTGGATGATTAGTGAGGTTGAGTGCATTTTCATATGCCTGTTGTATGTCTTTTGAGAAATATCTATTCAGGCCTTTTCCCCAGTTTTAAACTGAGTCGTTTGAATTATGTCTTCAAGTTACATGAGTTCTTTCTTTATAATTATTAAAAGCTTTTGATGAGATAAAGAAAAAATCCAAGGATAACAGATTTACTTTCTGTTGGCTCTGAATCACAAAGAAAAAGCAACTATTCAGTTTGAATTACTTATGAGCAGATCTCAGCGGAATTTTCTTATATCCCGTGAGAAGGTGAAAATTTGGCTCCATGAGAGAGAGTCATGAAGGAAAACCTTCAGAAAGTCAGTGATTTGCTAGTAAGGATGTTTAGGTTGACCTGATATCTAAGCCATCATATCTCATCAGCATGTTCAATTCCTATCTTCTTCATTCAAGTATGCTGCTGATTCATCGCTTACAGACAAGCTGGGTCAGTGAGGACTTGGGCAGTGCCTGCTTAGAGGCAGAGGCATGGACCAGATGACATCTCAGCCACATCATCCTAGAAATCAGGAGCTGAGCTTCTGAATAGACCTCTCTTTGGGAAAACCAAGGAACCACTATTATATTCCAACAACTCCCCCTTTAGTAAACTGTTGGAATAATGTGATCAGAACAAATGTCATATCCAGTGAGACAGTGGCAAAAGTGTCAGGGTAATGTGGCCACACACGTACCTCACTCTGCCAGGCTCAGAGCACAGTTTCCTATGAGGGCGACCTATGCCGTTTATAAACTGTAAAGTCTGGTACTATAAATAAGAGGCTTTAAAGGTCAAAACATCCAGTGTACACTCAGCCCTGTGTTGTATTAGTGGGGTTAAAGAATATAAAACCCAAACCAGGCTGTCACAAAATTCATTATGAGTTAGGTTTCACACGGAGGGTGGAACACAGGTAGAGCTGAGTTGGATTTCCTGGCAAAGCAAAGACCAGGAAATGCATGGTTTAGACAAACATAGTCAAACTCCAGAAAACACTACAGTTCTTTAGAGCATTTCTGAGTGTGGGTGGCATATGCTTAAACTAGAGGTAGAGCAAAAGACCATATTTCATAGGATTTTGGATTTTCATTCTTTTTTTTAATTTTTAAAATAACTTTATTATCAAAAACACACACATACAAAAATTAAAACCATTCAAAGAAGAACAATGCAAGGGAAAAAACCTACAATAATATTCAAATACAGTAGAACTCTACCAAAACAAAACTGAAAAGCATTTAAACATTTTTCCATATAATTTTAAAAAGCATCTCAAGCACCAACAAGACACCAGAGGATGTGATTTGTTTCACAAGATCCCCAAAACCAACGTTGAACAAATAGTGGTCTGGAAAAAAACCTCCAGTTAGCTAGCAGACTCCACATAAGCCAAACTTCCCCCTAATTTAAATTTCAATACAGTCATATGACACGCGATGGAAGCACAATCCGAGAAATATGTTATTAGGCCATTTCATCCGTGTGTATCCTTAATTACACTTTCAGTTTCTCACACTAGAGAAACTATTCGGTATTTACACATGTGTGTCCTATTATTTCACTTAAG